TATATATATATATATATATATATATATATATATAAAGTATATATATATATATAAAGAATAAAAGACCTTTTAAGAAAAGATATTTCCTTAGAAAATCTAATAAGAGAAAACCATATTTAGATGAAAAAAGACATGTGAGGAAATTCAAACCAGAAAGAACAGACCTTTTGCTCACAAGAATTTTTCTATTTAAGGAATGAGTATTAAAAATTTTCCAGATCCTCTTTATAAAGGTTTTACAAATTTTCAAGAAGCAATAGATGCAGCAAGACAGCATATAGGAATAAATTTTTATTTATCTCCTTTCACACTTCTGTACTAACAATCATACTTTTATCTATATTATTAATTCTTTCATCATATATGGTAACTAAAACTTTACATCCTAAATTTTTTCTCATTAATCATTTTATTCCTATAACTATTAATCCTAAATGCATGAATCTAAAATTTTTCTTTTTTAATTCTCTCTTAGAATCTTCTGATATTAAATTTAATTTTCTTACTTGATTTTCTATACACTGAACAGATACTTCTCTACTATGTCTGAAGAATTGTGTTCTTGTCTCAAAAATTCCTCTATTATATAATATTTCTGGGTTAAGAATTCTAAAATAAACTTAAGAAAGTAAAAGAATACCTTAAATATTCACAAGAGTGTTTCATCTATACAATATTTTTTTGATTGAGAATTTTTCTAGATGAGAGGTTTCAAGGGTTTTTTAGATAGCAGAGAGTACACAGGTTGTAAACTTCTGCTTAAACCAAATGAAACTCATTCCTTAAATAGAAAAATTCTTGGGAGCAAAAGGTCTAAACTATCCTTGAGAAAGGCACACGTTTCACCGAGAAACTTCTGGCCATTCTAAAATCTAACAAGTGGCAAGGAAAATTTCAAAAGTTCCTATGTCTTTTGCTAAGAATTCAAAAGGTCTACAGTTGGGAATCTTTCTTTTACAAGATTTCTACCAACTTTACAAAAAAGTCTAATAATTCTATCAATAAAAGAGAAAAAGTCTAAAGTTAAATAGTGAACTTTTATCGTCACTTTGAGAGAATCTTTCATCTTTTCTTCTTTTCTGCTGGCACATTTGTCTTTTTCTGCATTATTGAGAATTTTTATCATGCATCAAGATTATGGCGTGTCACTGATGAAAACGACATTTCACTGTCTGAATTATTATATCCTTCATTTTGTGGATCTTCGTCTTCATCTGAAAGTCTGGAGTTATTCGTTTCATTTTTTTCTTTTTAGTCTGGAATTATTATATCCTTCATATTGTGGATCTTCGTCTTCATCTGAAAGTCTGGAATTATTGGTTTCATCTTTTTCTTTTTAGTCTGGACATTCTGCAATTTCTTTCTCTTCTCCATGATTCTTTTTTAGAATTATCTCAAATGCTTGATTCACCACTTCTCTAATTTGTTCTTTTAATCCTTCATCATTTTTCTTCTTCTTAATCTTTTTCTTTTTTCTAGAAGAAGTTCCTTCATCTTTTTTAGATTGTTTCTAAAATTTTTCAATTTTTTCAAAAATCTTTTCTAAAGAAACAGTATCTGGATTGGGGTCTTGTGATTCTTGAAGAAATAAACAGTCTTGACTATCTTGGACCACCATTTTTTCCTTTCCTTTACTAGACTGAATTTCTTGGGCTTGTGAAATATCTGGATTATTTGAAAAATGTTCTGGTGGACTATATTTAACTAAGTAATCAAATTTTCCACTGGGCTGTCCCAAAAGATCCCAAATCTCTTTACCTTTATCTGTAACAAATTTATCAGTCTGCTAAGTCTGATTATCTAATTTAGTTGAGGAATCAACAGTCCCCTAAGTCTGTTGGGCTTTTGGTAAGTCTACAACTTTCAACGGATTTGATAAGTCTTTACCAGCTACCGTTTGGGCTAGACTAGCTATGGACTTCTTGGGCTCCATAGTACCTGTTAGATATTAGACTTTTAAATCCAAAATCTCTTTCTCAAGTTGGGCCACTTTCTTTTGGAGTTGGGTTCTTTCTAATGAAAGGTTCTAGTTGGCTTCATTGATGACTTTGTAATTTCTTTGCATACACTCACAGTGTTGGCAAAAAATATTCTGGTCTTTACTTGAAGAGAAGTCTAATGGCGGGTCAGAGTAATTTTTTAAAGAAGGAGATAAATAAAAATTTATTCCTACATGCTGTCTTTCTGCATCTAATGCTTCTTGAAAATTTGTAAAACCTTTATAAAGAGGATCTAGAAAATTTTTAATGCAGTCTAAAACTTCTATCCAAGAATGAAAAATTCCTGAATTTTTACCTTTAATAACAACATAGAATTTAAATCTTTGCTTGTTCTGACTAAAATGTTCTGACAATGCATTCATACATGCAAGAAAATATGTTTGATCTTTTGGATTCTTATTATATGAAATCCATAAATTATCTAAAATACATTTTTCTTCCCTAGATTAAGAAATATGCAGTAAAATTTTAAAAGAAATATTACTATTTGGAAAAACTATAAGTTCTTGGTTTCCAAACCTTAACCTGTCTTGTAACATTGGTCTGTTCTGATTAAATGGAGTCTGTGGTAAAGAACTTGATGCAAATGAATTCCCAGGTGGAATTCCTGGTCTTAAAGGCCTTAGTCTTGTTATCTGTATAACAAAATTATATTAAACAAATTTAATAATTTCTATCTATTATTATTCTATTTAGTATATCTGCCTTTTTATTATCACTACCTTTAATATGCTCAAATTCTATATTAATTCCTGTATTTGTAATTCTATCTATAAAGTTTAACCATCTTCTTCTACTACTTCTTTTTGTTTCTATTTTCAGTTTATTAACAAAAGAAACTATGGCTACACAATCTGTTCTTATAGTTATTTCTTTCTTAAATATAATAAATAGTTCAAAACTATCTAATGCATAATTTATAGCTAATAATTCTGCATCCATGCTACTTAAATTTCCTTTTTCTTTATAATTTCCACTATTATATCTACAAATTCTTTTTGTACTTTTATCAGTATATTTATTGGGTTTGCATATTAATATAGCTCCTCATCCTATTATACTTCCATCTGTTTTTATAATTAAATATTCTGAATCTAATGGCATAGCCAATTCTGGTAAAGTTTTTATTTTTTCTTTTATTTGTTGGACTAATTTTA